GTTTGTTGAACGACATTGTGTTCCCAGATCAATACCAGTGCTGCCCTGGACAATGAGTGCATGAGTGCAGTTGGTCGGAAAACAGCATATCTGTGTTGCATGGGGCAGAGGGGTTTTGAAGGAGGGTGCCCAAAATGAAATAAATACCTTTGAGCCTTGAATAGGTGTATTTGAACTGAGCAGGTCCACTAACACATGGATTTTTGTCAACTGACCAGTGCAGTTCCATTGACTGGTGCAATTCAAACCCACATTGCTCAAAGGTCAACTGGCAGTTGAGAATCCGCATATGCAGAGGGTCAACTAAGTTATATGTGGATTTTCAACTGTGCAGGAAGCCACCATGTTATTCAGGAGTCACCTGTAGTGATTTACATCGTGCACAAACCCTGGGAAGACCTGGGGTTGGGATATAATAGTGGTGGGAGGGTGCTCTACTACAATATACCAGAGACCTATAGGAGTGACCATTCTGACAGAAATGTCTCATATAGGAAGGCTCTATTTATAAGGTGCCAATAAGCCTGATGATCAGAACAACGTAATAGGCCCCAAAGACTGAGAGTTAAATGTAACTAATGCTTCCATCAGCAGAAAGATCTCTGTAAAAGAAGGCACAGTTGGTCTAAATAAGCCACTAGGTAATGCTGTGAGTGTTGTAGTCTGGGGTTATAAGAGAGAAACTAGTTTCATTGCATTCCATTTTCAAGAGTCCAATGACTTATTATTGAGTTGATTGATAATATCAATAATTTCTAGTATGTCTTGGCGAATCCTTGCATTTTGGCTTCAGCAGGGTCAAGTATGATAGGATAAGTAGTTTGTCTATGTGATTTTCTGCCATAATCCGATCAAAGCAAGCAGCCCAGCAGAGGGGGTAAGGGGCCCTACAATGTCAATTTGCCACAAGCGATAGGGACCCGTTCCTTGGCCTGGTATGTGTATTGATTACATTATCAGCGGTGCATTTTTTTTTTTTTTTAATCAGGTGTATTAGTCAGTCACTATGTTAGCCATGGCAGAGGAGGGAAGTCCCATGAATTTTGCCTTAACCTTTAAGTTAGAGGCTTCTAAAGGGTTTCATATTACATGGGACCTCAGGATCAAGGTTAATACCATCAGGTCTGAGGTGCCATTATGTGTCTCAGAAATTTGAGTCAATTTATCACCCTGAACAATGAAATGAGCTTCTGTAAATTGGTTTAATATCTGCAAAGGAAGGAGTGACCTTATTTGAACTTGGGTATTGTGAGGCAGGATAATCTCTACTTCTTTAGGCCAAATGGGATGACCCTGGATAAAAAGTTATTGGTGGAGCAAGACAGCTAGATCAATGTTCTGGAAAAAGAAACTAACAATGAACAGAAAATTCTCTAGTGCTAACATACTTACCTAGTGTTTCACTAATGGATCTAATGCTTGGGTCCTCTCTTTGATCAGGAATGGCCTGTTTGAATTAGAAACAGAATGGAACATCTCTGCAGTGGACTCTATCAGACGTGGTTATGACACACTATCCATAAAAATATGAACTCCTTTGTTATTCATATGCTCCAAAGTGACTCCTCAAGTGGCCAATATGTCTAGAAATGTGACTTTTTCTATAGAATGGATTACATCAATCAGAGAAAAGGGGAACATACTTCCTCCTGTAGTATAGATATACCAGAGGAACCACTTTGGTCTCTATCCTGTTCCAATGTCAGTTCAATGTCAGCCTTGGGTTAGGAAGCCTGAGGGGTCCTGCATTCATGACCAGGGCAAAATAGGAAGCTGGCTGTGAAGGTTCACCAGCTCAGAGCCTAGATAGGCCTCCATTTAAAAAGGATTCTGTCAGTTCCAGCAGTGGATGCTCTGTGTGCTACACTAGCTAAGAATAGTTTCTAGTACAAGAATACGTTAGGTAATTTATGTCCACCATGGGAGATTTAGAGACTTTTCAATGCATAAAACACTGACAAAGTATCTATGAGCAAATAGGTGTGGGAAAACATCATAATGGAGGGACTGTTATTTTGACAAATTCTCGAACCATGTTTCCCCCGTTCAAAATCTATTTTTAAATGTGTGAATGTCAGCAAGCATATCTAATAAATATGCAAATTCTGGGATTGCTGCAACCGAGGGAAATGTGCTCATGACATAGATTCTATATCTGCTTCTGTCACCTTCTCAGCACACAGGCCCCTAGTATTGCCTTAGAGAAATTTTCTAGAGTTGGATATGCATGGATTTCTAAAGAAGTTTCCAAGGAAACAGACAAAAGTAGGCTTGAGTTGGGAAAACAAAGAGCTGGAAATGGTCTGTGGAGGAAATGGAAGGAATGATGCTGACGCCCATGACTGAAGACATCCCCAGGCAGATCTCACTTGGGATGCACATTTATGTTTCAGAATCACAGTACGTTCGGAGATCTGAGTAAGTTGATTTTAACTCAAAGACACATTCTAGGATCCTTCTCATTTCAATCCTAGATATGTGTGTAAAGACAGGTGCAGCCCTAGAGGGAGTTTTCTCAATTGAGACAGGGCTGCAAGAAAGGCCTGTTGAGGCCTGTGTCTTCCTCCCCAGTTGTTCAATTCATCCTAATGAGGATCCCACAGTGCTGAAAGGAATCGAACATATAAAAATCAAGGTTCAGGTGAGTTAAATATTATCCTAGCATATAAGTGAATGTCATGCATTTTCTAACATATATACATGTATGTATAATGTATTTGTAATTATATATAAACATAATTAAATATACACATACAAATATATATAAATATAATTATTTTAGGTGTACTTTTGAGTCTTCACAAATGTGTAGTAATACTACCGTCAAAAGATGAAAAATATTTTATCATCCTAAAGACCACTCCTTTGGTGCCCACTAAAATGAAACCTCTCCTATACATAAGTTACCACTATAAAAAATGAATGATTGCATTTCTGTGCTCTTTATAAAAACTTGTAGCTATTACTTTTGCTTCCCACTCTTTCACATGTGCTAAAAATAAGCATATAAACAAAACCTGTGAACAGCAAAATGGGCTACAGGGTCTGTGGATGATGGCCACAAAATAATTTCAGCCAGTCCTGTGATAAAAAGACATTGAAATTTTATCCTATCTCTTTTTATACTAAATTGCTAATTTTAAACCAAATTGCTGAAAATTTTACCCTCTTTTACTGCTCACCTCAATTATTCATTGGATGATTGCTTCTAAATATTCATAGCATTTTGGTGTTTCCATCTTTAGTTTATTCTTTGAGTAGATTGATATCTATGCAAGACAAAGAGATATCAATCTACTCAAAGAATAAACTTGGGATGGGCCAGAACGGTGCAGATGAACATAGGTGTTTTCCTAAATGGGGAGGACTCCATTGTGTAATGGGGTATACATCGTGTCACTCAGTGTGTACAGCAGCAAAATACTATATAAATGGCAAATACTATAACATTTAAAATTTTTCAGTGAAAATCCTCTCAAATGACATAAACACAAAATGACACAACAAATATCTGTGGCCCAAACCATGAGAAAGTTTCGAGTCTCAAATGACTATGTCCAATGTCATAAGTATATAGTCTATAAACAAAATGTTTAACAATTCCAAAAATGAAAATACAACGATATCTAGATCTTTATGTGGACTCTTTCCTGTTAATCACAGACTTGCGGGACTTTCTATATTGTTGTGTTGTATTTATTTCGCCCAAGCAGTTCCTAAAACAGTGTTTAGGATGTATTACATGGTAGAAATTCAAGTAATTGATAATGACATTGTCACTCACTGAGACTCCTACCTTCATAGCAAAGATATATACACACACTAGCCTATTAACTCATGGGTTTTTTTTGTTTTTTTTTTTTTACATTTCATCATAGCTTTTATTTACATCTTATAACAAAGCTTTACCATTTATCTTTTCCCCCAAAAATATAAGCACCAGGGCTGTAAGAACTTGTTTGATGTATCTATGTCCAAATCCAACGGTGCCTTGATTATTTGTGCTAAATTGGTTGACTGTAAAGTGCATGGCAATGAGAGATTTTGCATCATTATCTTAAAGAGTATAGTTGCTGAGCAAGAAAGGTTTGATTGGACCAGTGGTCCTGTCTTTCTTCCTTGCTAGGCTTCTGTTCTCTCATAATTAATCTATACTTAGAGGCCTCAGTGGAGTCATGAAGTATTAAAAATATTATTACATATGTTAAATATATATGTAGTATATTAAGTCAATTTGTTTTTAACCGAGGTGTTTTATGGTAAATGGTGTCTAATACAGTATAGGAAATACATCAGTGTTTAGACAGTAAATAGAAAAGGCAAAAGCTGTTGCAGAGGACTGGGAGCTGGGTTTTCACTCATTGTAAGACCAAGTCTTATCCTGCAGAAGAGACAATGTCACACACCTCCTTCATCAAAGGCAGTCACTGACCATGATGCATCAAGACATTTACAAGGTATTTTGTGCACATATCTCTAAAAACAGTAAAGGACATAGTTCCAAATCATAACAATGACCAAAAGTCTCCTCTTCACAATATCAATGACTGGAGCTTTTTACAAATTTAGCTCCACTATACTGATTTTACCTTAGTTTAGCTCCACTATACTGATTTTACCTTCTAGAAAACAATGACTAGGATTACCGATGAAAGAATGAAGTTTACCTCCTCACAGCATTCATTATAGAAAAAGGTCCTGCTTCTTTGAATAGCAATTAAATCCTCTAACAGAAGTCAAAATCGTTTAAAATGTCCTTTTGGATACCTGTTACTCTTATACCTCAGGATTTTGACTTCTGTTAGAGGATTTGTGGTCATTCTTAATAGAATTTATTGCAACACTGTAATACAAGTGTGAATCTGTGGGTCACTGGCAAGAGAGCATTTAAAAAAAAAGAAAAAAACACCACGATTTAAGTTTTTGGTACTAAGAACAAAGAAAAAATTAGTTTCAGGACAAAAATTGTAACTATGAGAGATTAAAATAAACACAGTATGTTTAGGATTTTACAGCTTTAAAAAGTTAATGAAACATTTTTATGTTTTATTAAAAGCAAATACAGAAGTGTTAGTTTGACCCCCAAAAATGCACATAGTTTTAATCACATACAAGTGAAAACATTTGAAGGATTACATTCAGCCAAAAGTAATAGGAATTCACCTGAGGACCTAACAGTCTTCAAACTGTAAAGAGACAAATTTTTTTGAAAATGAAAAATGTAGAGACAATATTAACTGATTTAATGAAGTCACTACCTATTAATGTTATTTAATTGTTGAAAGACAACTTGCAGAATAATTTAGCCCCAGGATTTATTTCTAACGGTAGTTCTAGTTGATGCTTGAACAGCACGAATTTGAAATGCACGGGTCCACTTTTACGCGGAATTTAAAACGTGGACCTGTGCAGTATTAAACTTGTACTGTACAAGAGTCAAATATATTTTCGATCTTTGGCTTGATATTCATTTATGCAGAGGACTGGCTTAAGTTATAAACAAATTTTCGACCGCGTGGGCAGTAGGCGCCCCTAACCCCTGTGTTTTTCAAGGGTCTACTGTAGTAGAAATCCCATGTCCAACTACACACTTAAGGGAAGAAACCCCGTAAATACAACTTATTTACAATTTTAACAATCCTTTAATCTTGAAAGTTTTCTAGAACATTAATTACATCAATCCTTCCCATATTATTTACATTTTTTTTCTTTTCAGTGGGAGTTTTCACATGTATGGATATGAGCCAATCGAAGTCTTTCTCACACTATTTACATTTAAGAGGTTTAATCCAGTGAGTCCTTTCATGCCTTCGAAAGGAATAGGGATGACTGAAGGCTTTCCCACATTCTTCACATTTATATGGTTTTTCCGCAGTGTGCACTCTCATCATGTGTATTCGAAAAATTTTGTTACAAATGAAGGCTTTTCCACATTCCTTACATTCATAGGGTTTTTCTCCAGTGTGGGTCCTTTCATGTCTTTGTAAGGAACTGTGATCTCTGTAGGCCTTACTGCATTGTTTACATTCATAGGGTTTCTCTCCAGTGTGAGTTCTTTCATGTCGTTGATACAAACTAAGGCAAGTGAATGCTTTCTCACATTCCTTACACTGATAAGGTGTATTTCCAGTATGCATTTTCATGTGTCTTTGAATGGTGGTGCGACAAATGAAGGCTTTACCGCAATGTTTACATTCATAGGGTTTCTCTCCTGTGTGAGTCCTTTCATGTGTTTGTAAGGAACGATAATATCTAAAGGCTTTTCCACACTCCTTACATTCATAGGGTTTCTCTGAAGTGTGAGTTCTTTCATGTATTCGAAGATTACTAGAAGTATTAAATACTTTACTACATTTTCCACATGCATAAGGTTTCTCTCCAGTGTGAGATTTTTTGTGTATTTTTAAGAAACTGTTACATCTGAATGCATTTCCACATTCCTTACATTCATAGGGTTTCTCACCTGTGTGTATTCTTTCATGTATTTGTAAGGAACTATAATATCTCAAGGCTTTTCCACATTGCTTACATTCATAGGGTTTCTCTCCTGTGTGTGTCCTTTCATGGGTTTGTAAGGAACTGCAAAATCTGAAAGCTTTTCCACATTCCTTACATTCATAGGGTTTCTCTGATGTGTGAATTCTTTCATGTTTTCGAAGACAACTGGGGGCACTGAATGCTTTATTACATTTTTTACACTCATAGGGTTTCTCTCCGGTGTGAGACCTTTCATGTATTTGTAAGGAACTATAATATCTGAATGCTTTTCCACATTCCTTACATTCATAGGGTTTCTCTCCTGTGTGAGTCATTTCGTGTGGTTGTAAGGAACTGTATGATCTGAAGGCTTTTCCACATTCCTTACATTCATAGGGTTTCTCTTCAGTGTGAGTTCTTTCATGTATTTGAAGATGACTGGGATATCTGAATGCTTTACTACATTTTTTACATTCATAGGGCTTCTCTCCAGGATGATTTCTTTCATGTCTTTGAAAACTTTTATAATATCGGAAGGCTTTTCCACATTGTTTACATTGATAGGGCTGCACTCCACCGTGGGTTCTTTCACACATTTGAAGTGAAGTTGAAGAACTAAAAGTTTTCCCACAAACCTTACATTTATAAGGAGCATCTACAGTATGTGTTATGTGTCTTTGAGGGCTTTTGAGCCACAGTAAACCTTTTCCACATTCCTCACATTTATACAATTTTTCTCCATTGGAATTTCTTTCATGTTTTTCAAAACACTGCAGGTAACTGAAGGCTCTCCCACATACATTACATTTATATGGCTTCTCTCCATATTTCTGATACTCAGAGGGCTTGGGTCCAGTGTGACATCTGATGTCCCTATTATAAGATGAATGATGCATGAAGACTTTCTCACACACACTGTATTCCTGTGGTTTTACTCCAGAAAGAGTTTTCTTCTTCAGAATAAGGCTGAAGTTCTCTCCACACTGACTACCTTCTTTCCCTTCACAGAGTCTCTCTACCCTATGACTTCTGTAAAAAACAAAAAGTACATTATAAATGATTTCTTCGTTAAAGATTTTATATTTATTAGAATAATATTTGAAGTACATTTTTACGATTTACAGCAAAGTATAGGTTTTCTGCCTCATCCAAACTGTTGGGAATTGAATACACTGAAAGCTCTGAAAGACAATTTTAGCCTTGCTATTATCAAAACAACGACTTCATATATAGGCTTCATTAATGCTATTTCCATGTAAATTATTTTGCAAACATTTTGCATCTATGTCATATATAAGAAAGTAATTTGGTGAAAATTTTCTGTGATGTAATTAATTTGAAGCAGGGGTAGTTTTGGCTGATTCTTTTTAAAATTTTGTAGCATAATAGGTTTCTCACCTGAGACACTACTTTCTATTTTGAGTGTTACTCACCTACATATTCTCTCCTGGTTTTTGTACTGATCATCAATGTCATGATCTTCCCATTTTTTACCTAAAATGTAGACAAAGAAATATGATTCCAAAGTATTAAAAACTGTAGAAAAAGTATTAGATTCTACAATGAGCTGTGACCATGCCTAGTTTATTTACCAATATCCTCTTTTTCCACATTACACGTCAGAACAATGTTTAAGGGTAAGAAACACTTGTTTTTTAATAAAGCAAGTGAAGGTAATTTGTCATCCTTACCTACTGAGGCCAGGTTTCTGAAGGTTTCCTGCATCACATCTCTATACAATTTCTTCTGTGAAGGATCCAGTAAAGACCACTCCTCCAGACTGAAGTTCACAGACACATCCTCAAAGGTCACTGAGTCCTAAAACACCACAAATATGTGTACAATAAAATTCACAAGACTGTACTGAACAACTATACTCCATTTATAGGAAGGTTACATATAACTCTCATTTCCAAACATTTAGCCTATGACCTGATCATCAGAAACTTACACTCTGTCCACAATTACGTCCTCATAAATTTAACACCATAATGTAACACATGGAAATTATTTGTACGTTTTTACCATAATCACACTATATTTTATGTAATTCCTCTAAAGAAGGGATTCACAGCATGTTGGGAATAGACAGAAATGCTATGTAAATTAAACAAATATGATCTTTTTAAGATGACCAATTCCATGTGAAAAAAGTTTTTTTCATCTTCTTCCTTATTACTCACCATTTACAGTACTCCATAAGGCAGAGGGTCAAATCTGCATGAGGTTACAGTGAATACATACTAAATACTAGACGCTATTTGTTCTATTACCATCACCAAACATGAAAGTCCAGAAGGCCTATGTAATGTCAGTTTTAGCTAGGTCCAGCTGGCCATTTCATCCTAAAGTTCTCCAAACCATTAAAAAGTCATCAGATGCAGCTGGCTGAATGACAAGATTCTTATAGACAAGCACTTTTTCTTTCTGGAATATTTATTACCGACTCATTTCATTCTATATCTGTCCAATATGATGGGCTAGAAAGTTGCCATCAGGCGCTAGTTATCTATGAGGATATGTTCTGAGATATGTATTGTTAGGCAATTTCATCATTGTAAGAACACGCAGAATGTTCTTTAACAAACCTAGATGGTATAGCTTACCATATACATAGGCTATATTATATACCTATTTCTTCTAGGCTACAAATCTGTACAGCATGTTACTGTATTGAATACAATAGTATTTGTGTATATATACAATGCCTTCTCCAGGTTAATGGAGACTCAGATATAGCAGCCACCTGCGCCTGCACCTGGGTGGGGGTAGGGCTCAACAAAGGATTGGTGGCCTCCGCCAGCACTCCTGTGGGAAAAAGCTGCCCCCTCCAGCCATTGTCCTAAAGCCAAACAACTCAGTTCCTCCCCATATGTCCCTGGAGCCTTTTGAGCTGCTGCCCCAGAGCTGGAATTCAAAGCAAGTTGGTCAGCAGGACCACTTTCAAGGACGTGACTCCATAAAATCTAGTGACGGTCAACTACCCTTCCCCCATTATAGAAGCTACTGAACTTTTGAATCAGAAGATTCTAGGACATCCCATTTACTTTTCGTATTTGAAGATGGGGAAACTAAGACCAAGATGATGAGTCTACAAGCCAAGGACACTAAGGATTATTGGCAACCACCAAAAGCCAGGAGGGAAGTATGCAACAGATTCTCCCTCAAACTTCCAAGATGAACCATCCCTGCCAACATCTTGACTTTGGATCTCTGGACTCCAGAATCCTGAGAGAATAAATTTCTGTTGTTTAAAACAACAAGAACAACAACAAAAACGACTTCCCTCCTTCTTTCATTTCCAAGCTCCCCTGTGGAGTAAAGGAGCATGATAGCTCAACCTCTGAGCATAAGAATCCCTCAGCTGATTAATGACACCACACACTGCCAATAAGGTATGAAAATGTTTATTACTTCCATAATTGAGGTCCCGGGAGGGTGAGCAGGCCTCTCACGAAGGGATGAAATAGCTTAAAAAAGCAAAGAAAAGTGCATGAACTTGTTAGGCTAGGGTAAGAGTTTACACACAGGGTCGGAGCATGTGTAGATTCAATCTCTTGCTACCACAAAGGAGAGAGCACTAAGGCTTTCTTATCACTTGTACAGATGTGGGGCAGGGCAAAGAGGAAGGATGAGACTTTAAAGCTGTCGGCAGTCAATCATCAAAAACTAAAGTCAGGGGTTTCCAATGCCTGGTCTGGAATTTAAGTAACTTTGAAGCTGTCATTTCTGACACTACAATAAAAAAAGCAAAAAACTTGAAATAAACTTCCCTTTTTAGATATATCACGTAATTTAGGTCACAGAGTGATTTGGTGTTTCCAAAATTTGGAAAGAGTAAACAGACACAATATTTTGAAATATGCACCCCCCAATATCCTGTCCTTAACATAGTCTATGCTCAAAAAATATATATCTCAGTAAAATTTAATGCAAAGACAATATCACGTATTAGGTCACAGAGTGATTTGGTGTTTCCAAAATTTGGAAAGAGTAAACAGACACAATATTTTGAAATATGTACCCCCCAATATCCTGTCCTTAACATAGTCTATGCTCAAAAAATATATATCTCAGTAAAAAA